ACATAGCATGTATTTAGGCGCCTGGTGTTAGCAGACGCGCCTAAACACATAACGCGTAATATGATTGAATAAAGTATAAATTTTATGAGATGACCTAGAATCTAGCTTGCTATAAACCACCTCAGCGTAAGTGATGATGGGAAGAACTAATTGACGAGCAAGTTTTTTCTAATAGCATAGGAGTATATGATGTGGATTGACAAAGATTTCTTAGGGTGCCATATATTTTGCACGCGATGGAGTTGATATGGTCAGCACAGCTAAGGTTACTATTTATAACAAAGCCTAAATTAGTTATTTTTTCAACCAGCTTCAAAGGATTGTTATCAAGGCAAAGAGATGGAATGCTGCTAAAACTTATTCTATTATTTACCATAAAAAAAATGGTTAAATAAGCAATTGGGTATTATTATTGGGAGTCTCCTGAAGAGAAACAGAGTTTTCCAATCGAAAAATTTTGATTTTCAAGAATTCTATACCATTTCTATGAAAAGTTGTTTATTCCCCATAGAAAATACATGGAAATCTTTGAACGCTTTGAGCTCTACCTAAAAATTTTGATTTCAAAATAAAAAATAGGGATATATTATTTTCGGTATTGAAACACCCTAGCGGATGGCAGCAATAAAGTTCCGAGTTTACTTTTTCACATGATTTTTTTTGCACCACCCTAATGTATATACGTGCTTACTTTGTGGTCCGCTGATTAAGTTAAGTGACATTTTGACCAGTTTGGTTATTTCTCTTTTGTTTTTTAAATGTTTATTATTTTGTTATCAAAGTGTAGCACATTACATAACCAGAACCACGTAAATCAACACTTCAAACTTCTTACAACAATTATAAAAAATTCCACAAGGTTTAACAATTATATCCAAAAATTTTAAACTTTTTATTAAAAATTTTAGAAAAATTTAAGGTATGCAGTCTTATACATAGCCCATTGTACCCTTGTTTAATAATATCTACAATTTTTCCAGAAAGTTTTTATAAAAAGTTTAACATTTTTGGGTGTAACTGTTAAAGTTGGCTTAATTTTTATATATTTTGTACGAAGTTTGGAATTTGGATTTTTGTGGTACTGGTTATGTAATGTGCTAAACTGTTATAAAAAAGTTATAAACATTAACTATTCAAAAGAAAAAATAGCCAAAACTGGTCAAAATGTCACTTAATTTAATCAGCCGACCACAAGGGAACATTCTATTCTATTATATGTACACATGTACATAAATTTATGGAACTTGTTATTCATTTTATTGATTTAACGTTTGGTTTTGTGAATTTCGTGCTTACACTCATATGCATGTTCGAAACTTTTACAAAAATAAACAGATCTAAGAAGATATAAGAAAAAATTCAAATAATTTGCATGCTTAAAATATCTAACAGCTTTTTTCACAGAGGCCCCAACCAACACTTTTTTTTGAAACTGAGTTTTAAATATTTTGGTAGGATATATGAAAATATACATTCATTAAAAATTTTAAGGAGCTAGTACCAAAAACAACGGAGTTATATGCCACTTTTTCAAAAGGCCTTCCTAAATACTTTTAATATTCTTCTTATAATGTTTTTTTGCTTCTCCTGTAAAATAGAAAATTTGTTGGTTAGGGTCTTTGTGAATTAAAGTAACAATATGTATGTACTAGATTTATACATATGCGCATACATAAACATTAGACTGTGTCAAATAAAACGAATGTATTTTTCTTTCAGTCCTCTATCTTAATTTTTCAGTTGACGCTCTCAAAAATAGGAATTTTCAGTGAAACAATTTTTTCCGCAACTTTTTTTAATAAACATTAAATAGAACAAATAAAATAAAACATTCCTGTAGCCCATTCATTTTTAGTATAACAAGTACAAGTTTGTGTAGCTAGGACTTACCGTTGATTTCTGCCAATTTGGTTTGTTCATGGTGTCAGTAATTTTCTTTCATACAAAGTATGTTCGACGACTTAATGAAAAAAAATGAACCAAACCTTCAACAAAAAAAAAAATTCAAAAATCGGCTACTTCAAACTTGCACTTATTATACTAGAATTTATTGGGCTATACGATTTTTTATTTTATTTTATTTATTTTATAATTGATAAATACTGGTATTTTGCTTTTTTAGCTTAGATTAGCTCTGAGAAATCGAAGAATTCGCAGCATTTACTCTACATTTTTTACGATGTCGCTCAATTAAACGGAGGCTGTATGCCTTGAATCTCTTCTCCCAATTCTAAATATGTATACTAGTCTGTTTTCCTATTTTCTTGATATACATACATATGTAGTATGGATACGGTGACCATTCGTACCGATTTTGGCGGGACACTACCGATTTTGAGAAAGTTGTCCCGCTGAATATTTTTTTAAAAGTCGGGACGTATGAGTGTCCCGATTTTTAATATTTGTACCAATCAAATCCTGATTTTCAGTGTTTTCTTATCAATTTAATAAAAGCCTCCGTATACTCTGGCCCAGAAACCATTTTTTCGGACAAACGGGGCAGCATTTTCGTTATCTCAAAGAACATAGAATATAAGGGAGTCATAAATATAGCCATCCATAACCATCCTTATTTTCTATGATCTTCGGTTATGTTTTATTCTATCACACTGGTACTCTCAATACATAGCAGTTTAACGATACTTACTTGAATTTAGTGAATTTATAAAAAACTAATATTAATTTTGGATATGAAAAATTTAAGCTACTAGCAGACTCCGCGAACTTCGTCCCGCCCAAAATTTATTTTTTATTGAAACATTTGGTCTAATGTTTTGACCAACAATTCACGGTCACGTTTGGTTTTGGGGTCGTCAGAAGGCATATCCTCCATTGTCATCTTAAATAACTTAATGAAGCATTATGTCCGTGAAGAAGTTCTTGTGACAACAATGATCCGGTTCGATGGTGAATCGTCCTTGAATCTGTGTAGTACATTTGGTGCCAATTTTAAAATGGGGGATTAGTCCACAGAAATCCAATAAACATAGACTTTTTTCCGACAATATACCTTAAATATCTTACAATTGTATTTGTAGGCATTTATCAGGAATTGTCTTAATTCTGTTTAGTCGTCGTAAAGCATGGATCGCATTGGTTATGGTGGTAGATGTAACGGTCGTAATTTGACTTTGATCCCTGGTGTCTCCGAATGACTTCACTTGACAATTTTTACCAATAACTCGAATCCAGCGCTACCTTGCAGCTCTTTTCTTGCAATAGTAGATATTGCTCCTACCGTTACCAATATACATATATCTCGAATATTAGCCAAATCGGACAATAAATACGATTTTTATAAATGACTCGACTCCAGCGCCACCTGGCGGTTTAAGTTGTGAATCTAAATTATACAGGGACGCACTCAAATACATAAAAAAAAATCATTCAAGTCGTTTCGGGCGTTTAGGAGGAGTTCACTCACAAACCCACGTACCGAAGAAATATATATGTATTTACAGATAGGTAAAAGTTTAAATATGTTTGGAAGGGGCCACGCTCGTTTTCCGATAACCTCTACATTTCTCCATGAGGGATTGATTTCAAATACCTCGGTATCCGGTCCATCTATCACAAAAACGTGTCCTACATGTTAATCCAAAAAAGGATCCTTTATACAAATCTAGGCAAAAGCTACCTACGTGTCAAATGTCAAGCAAATCGGACCACGAATAAGATTTTTCGAATAGATCGGCCCTGGTCCACTTACCGGAAAATGATCACATATGTTAATCTGGAAAAAATGCCACCTAAGTGCAGAATTTCAAGGAAATCGGATCGTAAATACGATTTTTTTGAATAGATCGCTCCCTGGTCCACTTACCGGAAAAATGGATCATATATGCGAATCTAGCCAAAAAGCTACCTACCTACCCAATTTCAAGAAAATCGGACGAGAACATTAGCGCACACAAGGGGTGGGTTCTGGGGTTCAAACGCCCCCTAAAGCTAATAACCTCAAATACAATCTATATCTTAAAGCTAAGAATCCAGCTCTCAAGGAAATTATAAGAAATATTTATTATAATTTCTGTTGCTTGAAAAAGCGCTTTGCTTTTGCTGTAAAATTTTCATGAGGGAATAAATATACGAGCATTTTTTTTCTTGAGAGCTGCAAACTGATTTAAGAAATTTTGGTAGAAGAAAATTTCTTTTCCATTTCTCGTCCGTCGTTTTATATGAATTTTTCGTTTTTCTTGAGAGTTCAGTTAATTTTTTCGGTATTTGAAATATTAAAAAAATGTAGCAATCGTGAAAAATCACCAGATCAGAAATCGAAAAAATGAACATAGAAGTGCAAAAATTCATGGAATCAATAAATTTATTTTTACTGACTCTTTTTTAAAATCTTTTATACCCGAGCGCACTTGTGCACAAGGGTATATCAATTTTGTTCACATAACGGTTGTTTGTAACAGCCAAAACGAATCGAGATAGATATAGACAAATGTATACATAAATGATCAGGATGAAAAAAGAAATCGATTAAGCCAAGTCTGTCTGTCCGTCATAAATGTATATTAAAAAGGGTATTTTCTGGAGCAAATTTTCAGTATTTTCCGGTGATATATCTTCAGAAATATAAAACCCCCCTAAAATATATTCCTGGGTGCGCCCCTGGACGAGAAATACGATTTTTTCGAATAGATCGGTCTCTGGTCCACTTACCGGAAAAAAGTATCCTGAATGCTATTTATAACAAAATTTCATGAAAATCGGACCTGCCGTATATGACATATGTGAATTTCCAAACAAAGTATACATGGCAGGAAGCTTTTATATTTTTTTAAGATTGATAAATTTATCCTCTGAAACCGTTTACTGACGTGAAAATTTTTGCAGTATACGAAACTGCTTTCAGGCTCTTCAAAATGGTTATTTTTTCTTATTTTTGCTTTTTTGTAAAATATTTTCCAGAATGCCTCTTTTTTTAAAGAAAGCTAAAGGAATAAATAAGTTTAGAATCTGTTAGAAAAAAGTATATTAACCGATAAGCATTGTACTGATTTTTAACATTAAATGCATGCTTATTAAACATTCGCGGGGGGTGAAATAACACAAACGGCAATAACGCCAAATTTGGTTTATTTCACTTTTAAATGCGAAATAATACCTAAGTCTGAGTTTTGGTGTATTTCCAACGAACCAAACAACAGGGTTTTAACAAGACTCGTCGAATCGACGATGACCAGTACTAATGTATGTAAAGTAAAGTTAGTGCTCTAGGGTAGCCAGCGTTTTTAATATCTTTATTTATATTTTATTGGATGTTGACAAATTCACTATTTTTACGAACAAGACGAACACAAAATCGATTCGAAATTTGTATATAGACGGGTCTTGATACTCACAGAAAGTAAAAAAGTTTCCCAAAGTAAAACCTCAAATTTGTAATCTCAATGACTTAGATTAAGACTGTCGAAACTGCGACTCGCGGGAGTGAATGGTACCAACCAAACGACGCATTTTCCTTTACTTACTTAAATAAGTCAGCTATTTAATACCTAAATTACGTTGTACTACAATGTGAATCCCATTGATTAGGGTAAAATACGAATTAAACATGTCTTTGATTGACTCGCCTTCCGTGCCTCCTTCTTAAAAATTGTAAATATATAATTTTTTCACTTTATATATATTTTCTCTTTCTTTTTAATTTTTCATGTGGCGCGGGCCCCTAGGCTAGCGTCTATGTAGCCTGTGCTTAAATTCGGCCCTGCCCAGTGAGTAACCTATGTTAAATTTATTCGGAATATTTATGTCTTTTCTAGCGCAAAACATAGCGAAAAAACATGATTTGTCTGTGTCGTAATTCTAGAAAAAAAAGACCAGTAGAGTCCACCAAGTGATTCCGGTCCACAGGTCCAGCCGATACTCCTTCCCTCGGCTGTTCGTCGGCGACCTAGGCTCCCTATGCTGTTCGAGGTTGGCGTGAAGAGTGACAAAATACTCCTTTAACGAACTTTTAGGTGGTCATTGTTTTTGATTCGAACCTAATGGCTGCTTTCCTGTCTGAAAGGTAACTATAAAATCGTCTTTCAAAAAAATTTGCAAGGTTCAGTCTGGCTCAGGTCGAGATTACGTGTACCTCGACCCAAAATAATGTAGGTCATCTGCGCGCTGCAATAGAGAGACTTCCCTTTTTGATGTCCAAGAAGGCAAACAGACCAACCTCTCTTGACTCGGAGGGCGTTTTGATCCCACCTACTAAAAGGTACTACCGGGCGCAATCCGTCGATTTCCCTTTGCCACAAATAATCTGAGTACAGTTTCAGGTTCGCTGCCTTCTCCAAGTAGCGTTCGCAATAGCTTGGTGCCAGGTTTTCTCAGGATACTTCTAAACTTCGGAAGAAGACAACCAGACATTTCGCAGTTTACTAACCACATGAATTCGGTAATAATATGTAGCTTTTCCAACAGGGCAACTACACACCTTAATACGAGCTTCAATATATCTAAGGAATGCAAGTACTTAAGCACAACATCGCGAGGACGTTCACATGGTTCCAGGGTTCGACTTTTTAACTTTTTCTTCCATTTATAATTTTTTTTGTGGTTGCGACCTGCTGAGCCATTTTATTGCGTAAATTTTTCGATTGTTCAATCGCGGTAAAACAACGCAAACACTAAACACTCGCTGCTCAGATGCATCTCAATTTTCGAAGAGTGGCACAATCGCGATGGTCAGAGTAACTTGGTTGCTGTTGTGGTGCGTCTTGCATTTACCCTGCTTTTGACCATTATAAACTACATGAAATCTACTACAACTCAATACTCGCTACTCCAGCTCGCTTTCTATGTAGCTTGTCAGTTTTTAATTCACTTTTGCTATTCGCAAATTGTAATCTCCTGTTGGCTGTAAATCAAATAGTCCCAAGGGTCTCGCACAACCAACCACCAGTAACACCACTACCATCCCCGCCTACCAGCCTCACAACGGTGCTCGTTTGCTCATTCATTTACACCAAGTGGTGACACCACAGGAGGTCCAACAACCTTCTGAAATAATGTCATTTTTACGGCTGCTGGTTGCGTCATTTGGTTTTTTACATTCGCTTGTATACATATGTACATACATACATACATACATATACATATAAGTTTGTCTGTATTAAGTTTTTTATCCAATTTTTTCTTAGACCCTCACAAATCACATCGACTCTGCTTACTATTAAATATTTTTTATTTTTTAATTTTCCTCCCGGCTCGAAGGCCAATCGGCACCTCAGCCATTGCAGTCTTCTGGTTTTTTTCAGCACCATACATATGAATTTTTTATTCTGAAGAATTGGGTGGTACTCAGCAGGAGTTAAGCTATGATTTATGATATTGACGCTGTTCGCTGGTGATAACGATTCCACGGAATTGTGTTGTGTTCAATCTCAAAAATTCTACAAAGAAATCGATGCCAACTAAGCTGATACATAGATAAAAAATAGGTAAAAGTGCAGAAAATTAATTAGAACTTAAATTTTGGTAGTTATGTATCATTTACATAAACACTTTTTCAACGTTTTGATGCGAAATTTACTAAAAAGTGCAACCTTTATTAAAGTTTCTTAAGGATTAGAAATTTTTAAATTACAAATTTTTAAACTATCCGCAGCCGCGGATAATTCTGGGTCGTGGTCTATTTTAAAAGACCTACCTGATTTAATTACCAAACTTTAAAATTTAATTGATTAGACGATCTTTCACTGGTACTAAGTGGCAAGTGGAATTTAAATTATGTTATTGCAAACAGTTCACCAATTACGCGTGTGTCGAAGTCTCTCGCAGTCGAGGCTAGTTAAAAAAGGAAATTAGCTGGTAAATATTCCGATATGGGTAACGTACTTGTATCACAGAAGTTGTATGTAAAAATGTCCTTTATTTTATGTTGGTTAATATAATAATAATAATAAAAGAATGGCGCTTGCACATAGGTTAGTGTTTGGCCGAGCTTCTCCTCCGATTTGTGGCGTGCGCCTTGAAGTTGTCACTCAAAGAGGAGGGAGCTATAGTTTTACGCCGACTCCGAACGGTGATTGCATTTTTATGAGAAGCTGTTTTTCATGGCAG